CACCCGCCTGCAGTGAGCCCCGCGCCACCACGCGGGTCGGTCGGGGCGCGTAGAGGCAGGGCAGGCAGGGCCACGGCTGGTCAGTCACAGGCCGGGTGGGTACGCGATAAGGAGTCCGCGGCCGCGAGATAACTGTGTGCGTGGCAGTTCAGCGCAGCGTCCTGGACCCGCGGATGCTGCAGCAGCAGCCCGCCATGCATCTACACGGGTGGCGCGCGCGCGCCAACAGCCTCATGAAGGTACTCGGAATGAAGCTGTTGTCTGGGCTTGAGGTCCTTTACTATAGTTCTTTTACTGTAATTTTCTGATTTTTTCTTGAATATTTTGGAGTGTGCACGCTGATTTCTCTAAAAGTTAAATAATCCTCGGTCTGGTTTCTATCCTGCGCGCACCATGAACTCCCAACTGTTGTGCCAAGGGCTCTGCTCTAAATGTCCTACTGCTCTATGCTGCCCGGCGGGCCCGTACTGTCTCTGTGGGCTCTATATCCTTCCTGCTGGCCTCAAAGCCTTGCCGTCGCCGTGACTTCTGCCTTATTTCCCCCCCTTTTGCCGCTCACTTCACTTCATTTCGCAAAGAGCTCCCTCCCTGCCCTGCGCGCGCTGGGCGGGGGGACCCCGCTCCATCACTTTAGAGAGCCATCGCAGTCCTCCCCCCGGGGGCGGAAAGGCGGCCGCTGCGGCGCGCCGAGGTTCTCCAGGCGATTGCTCCCCGTCACTTTATCGGAGCTAATTTCCTGTTGTAAGCGAGTCCTTGAGCGCGAGTTGCGCCCCGTAACAAGCCGCTCGGTATAAATCGTGCCGACGCGGCGTAGTTCGGGGGAAGCTGGCTAACGGAGGGGGTTGATCGGATTCCGTGAGGCGGATATGTGTGCGCGGCCGTGCGGCCTGGCCGTGACAGGAGGTCGATCACGAGAATAGCGCCCTCCTGGTCCTGCCGGGCCTGCCCCACCGGTCCACAGGATGTAGGCCGCGACGGGGGAAGTTTTCGTTTCGCTCGCTTAACCCCCCGCGCGAGGCGAGACGGGGTGGCGGGGCGCCATCGCCGGGGGAGGGAAGGAGGCTCGACGTGCTCAGGGTGTCGGACGGAAACGCGGTGGCGACCTTCCCCGACCGGGGCGGCTCAGGCCCGGGGAGAGCCACCCGCCAAAGTAAAGCGCGCGGGATGGATCGGCTCGTGTGTCGGCGTGGCGGGGCTCGCCTTCCCCGCACGGCTGCCCGCGCCAGCAGGGGGTCGGCTATTGTATCGTTTTCACCCTTGTGTGTCCTTCTGCTGACCCAACGCGTTCTTGCCTTTTGCCTTGTTTCAGGAGTTGGGCTCGCAGCCGCTGCCGACGATGCCGTTGGACGACCGAGACGAGTCCGGCGGACACAGGCCTCGCGCAGGTCGGTACCCATACGGTGTGGAGTCTCTGTCGGGATGGAGTAGCGGCGGGTAGCGCTGGTGCCCGCGGGTACCCGCAGAGGGCGCCGGCGGGCGCGCGTAGCTTCATCGTTTGCTTCGCCGGCGTCACGGTCGGGTAGTGCGTGTGTGTTCCTCTACACCGCGACGAAAATGTGTGACGTGAGGGTGGCGTTAATTTGCTCGAGTCATTCGACGGGCTGGTGCATGCTTGACGTTGTGCTTGACCGTGTGCGTCTTCTTGTTGCAGGCACGTGGGGCAATGCGGCCGGGCGCGCGGTGGTGCCGTCGGGCTCCAACCCGGGCTCCAACCCCTCGTCGGCGCCGCCGTCCAACCCGCCGTCCAACCCTCCCTCCGGGCCGCCGTCGGCCAAGGGCTCCAAGACGAGCATCGCCTCGTCCAAGGCCTCCAAGAAGCGGTCGGCGTCGCAGGAGCGGCGGCGGTCCGGCGACGACGTGCTCATGGCGCAGCAGGCCGTGTTCGCGGCCGCGGCCAAGGCGGCCGTCGCCTCGTCCACCAAGACGTGGACCGCCGCCATGACCCAGTCGCCCACCAGGAGGCCCACCATCTTCGAGGCGTTCCGGCCGCGCTCCAAGTCGGACGCCAAGGAGGCCAAGACCAAGGACCCCAAGGAGCACAAGCCCAAGAACGTCATCTCCCAAATCAAGAGTGCCATGCAGGTGAGCCTCGCGGCTGTGCCACCCCCAACGGCGGCCTTTCCATTTTAAAGGTGGCGGTAGTTGTCCTGCTCCCACCCCAGCCGCTCGCCCCCCTGGCCGGAGGGTGAAAATGATATTACTGCTCCGGTAATGGCCTCCGCGTCTAGCGTCCACCCCTCCTCCCCGCTCTCCCCCTGCCCTCCCGACAAGGCGGTATCGCGCAGCCGTGTCCCGCCTCCCTAACGTCTTCATTTCTCGAGTAATTGTCTTATTGGCCAGCAGCAGGAGCCGCGCCGCGCGCTATCGGCTACAATAACGACCGCCGCGCCCCCCGCGGGAGTCCAGCAGCAGCAGCGCTCCGCCCCGCGCTGCCCCGCCCGTAATGAACTCGTTTAATGCCTTGTTCGTCCAATTGACTCACTCCGCTCGCGTACCGGCCGGACGCGGGCCGCGGGGCCTGGACAGGACAGGCGCGCGAGCAGCCGGCGGTACCCGCGCGCCGGTGCGGGGACCCCATCTGGGGTCCTTAATGACCGCATCGCACCAGGGGGACGAGTTTGCGAAACTCGCCGCTAACACACCCGGTGCCACCCCTTCCCGCATCGACCCGACCGCCGCGCCCCTCCGCTCCGGCCCCTCCTGGCCGACGAGAAAAATAAAGGCCTGAATGCAGGGCGTGGGCTGTCTCCCGTTTATCCAGCAGTTAATATTACCTCCCACCCACCCTGCCCATGCCACTGGGCCCCGCGTAGGGATTTTAATCAAGCATTCCGGTGAAGTTGAAATGCAGAAGAATGCAGGGAACAAGAAAACGGAAGTCACCATGTTAATGCATAGCAATTTCCGTTTTCTTCTTTCCCGCATTCTTCTGCATTTCAGCTTTACCGGAACGCTTAATTCTTCAAGAAATGCATTTTAGGGAAATTTTTCATGAATTTTGTTTTATTGCACCAATTATTCCGAAACTGTTCTGAAAATTTTTTTACTCCAAAGTTTTCAATTGTTTTTCCGGACCTTAAAAATTTTAGCCACGCGCCCTCAACTCTGAACGAACGAGAAAAGTTTGTGTTTATCGAAGAATGAATGTCTCCCCGCAGCACTCCCTCATGTCGTCGCCGTCGTCGAGCCGGGGCGGCTCCTCCACGTCGACCAGCGGGTACTCGTCCAACGAGAACACGCTGGCGGGCGCGGACGGGGCGGACGGCGCGGCCGGCAGCAGCAGCAGCGGCGGCAAGTCCAGCAGGCCGAGGGCCGGGTCCGAGTCCTCGTCGGGGAAGAACGCCGTGACCAAGGTCATGGACATGTTCCGCTACCGCTCCAACTCGGCCATCTCCTCTGAGGACAAAATAAAGGTAAGCAAACTAGAAGGGGAAGTGGTATCGAAGGCAGCTTATGGAAGAGGGCGCGTCGTCGCGTGCCCCTCAGGCAGAAGAGGAATCGCCAATTCTTTTAACCTTGGCGGAAAGACGAGACGTGGTCACGAAAGCCGACCCCGACCGTGAAGAGGGGCCTGTCTGTCATGTCATATCTCCCGTCACCGCCCCTCACCCCCCCAAAAAATAAAATCGCACAGCCGCAAGGGCCGTTGTCTTCGACCCGCGCGTTTACCCTTTCCCTCCCGAACTGTCCAATGCGAGCCGAGCTCCTGATTGTGGCATTAACGTGGGAGGTACTGTCTGAAAGCCCCGTGGGCGCCGCGGGATAGAAACTTTTCCTATAAGCCCCGCTGTCGCTTCGGCCTTGCTTCACGTAATGTCCATGGCCCCCTTTTTTTGTTCACCTCCCCGAGATCTCTTTTAAAAAAGGCTCCGGACCGAGCCCAGCTCCAGCGGGGGCCTAAGTGGCCAACATCCCCCGGGCCAGCGGGCGCCCCCCCGTAACCTTGAGGGATCCGTGTAACTGAACCGGCCATCATACCGCCGCTGGGGGAAGGGGCGGGGGCGTGCCTGGGAATCTCATACTGCGAGTCGAGGGGAGGGGGGGGGATCTAGTGTCAGCGACAGCGGGGTACTGTCGTTGACGTGTTTGCCCCTGAACTGGGGCCTACCTGTATGTGTGTGAGTATGTATGGTGAGTGTGTGTGAGTATGTATGGTGTGTGTGTGTGTTTCTGAGTACTATATGTGAGAGAGCAGCGCGGTTCAGGCAGGCTCCTCGATAGTGTTATCTTCCTTGCGTCGCCCTACCCGGCCGGCGGGCGAGTCTGAGACAGGTGCAGGCTGGTGCAGGCTGGTGCAGGCGGCGCGCGCTGCACGCGGCGGGACGGGGCGGAGCGTGACGGTCGTGGCGCCACCGCACCCGGGGCAGCAGCCGTGCGCGCTGCACCTGTTGTCCAGCTGCAGCTGCAGTGGCAGCAGCAGCGGCAGCAGCTTCGTGATGCCAAGGCCAGGGAAGCGGAGCAGGCTGGGTAGGGAAGGGTACGAGTATGTGCGCTCCACCCTCATCCGAGTCCACACTGCCGCCGGTGGCGCGGGCTGCTGGTCTCGGAGGCATTGGCCCTGGTACCCGACCCCTCCCGGCGCCTGGCCGCTGACGGTCTGGCGGCGGTTGGGGCCCAGGCCGGCCCAGGCTGATGCTGATGCGAGCGATAATAAACGAGACAGCTGAATTGCTTGATTATTAATCGGTATGAAGGAAAGGGGGGGAGGTGGGGTAGCCGCGACCTCCACGTGGCCCGGGAGTAGCAGGGGGTGGCGTGGGTGCGCGGGCGCGGTGACTCACCCGCGGGCACTACCTGGCGGCGAGCCTGGTGTGGTGGCCCGATAATGGAAATAAGGGGCAAGAGACGCCTGTGGTTCGGCAGGTGGCGTGCTGGCCCGTGTTTTTGCTAATTTATCTGTCGGCGCGGCGCGGCTCTAGGGCGCTAGGTCAGGGCTGCGCGGGCTGTTGTTGACGGAACCGAAGCACCTCGCTGCCCCTTCCCCTCCCGCATCATTGCTTTAGCTGTCGACGGCTATGCTGCTGCTGCTGATGATGATGATGATGATGATGATAAAAGCGGCGATGCTGATGCGATTCCCAATGGATTTATGTCGGCGATCTGTTTAGCGAGTAGTTATCACTCGGCTGGCTCCACCTGCCGCCACTGTCGTGGGACGACGTACGGGCTCCGCCCAGTTTAAATATTCGCGCCTTATGCGCTACTGGACAGACCCTTTAGGGCTAGCTAAGTAGGGACCCCTTGTTGAGGCTAAGTCGAGTTCGAGTCAGAGCGATAGTGACCGGGTGCGGGCGGAAAGGCCCAGGATGGCGACGAGGCTACCTGAACCGGGCCGACGCTCCCGGGCCGCGTGGTCGCCAGTCTGCGGTAAGCTCCAGCTAGGGTCAGGTCGTCAGCATCCCCTCCGTGTACATATCAACCAAAGGTAGGCTTGCTCAGCGTGTAAAGGTATCTGTCTGGAACCGTTAGGGCGAGATAACAATAAACCTTGGTACCATATCTATCTCTATCATTTAACTGTTGAACCACTAGAACCACCGTATCCGAGAAGTATAAAGGTAGAGTACACTACCACAACATTGGTGCATCGCCGGGAACCCGGTTTTATTTTTCCAAAGTTTTTGTTTCCGAGTTTTGTTTTTCCTTTTCGCCGCGACTCAAATCCAATCTGACCCGACCAAATGCTGGAGTAACTCTTTTCCTCTCTCTCTCCCTCTCTCACTTTTCTGCTCTCTTTCTATCTTTGTTGTTTTTATTTTTAGGTTTTGTAAAATGTGTGTAAGTGTATGTGCTGATGTAGTGTTTTCTGTTGGTTTTCTGAGTGTTTGTACCCGTGTGTAGTTACTGTCGTGTGCCGTGAATGCCGTGA